GAGTAACCCGTAAATCTGGAAAATTGTAACCCGTTAACCCGTGACCCGTTAGAGGTCCAACCCGGCCCGCGGGTTACGGGTCGGGTCGCGGGTCGGGCGGGTTGAAGCAAAACGGGTTAACCCGTCAACATCTCTGATTCAGCCTATAATATAATGTTATTTTCATTTTTCGCCATGAAATAAAGAATTCGTAAGCAAAACATTGAATTAGAACTTCCAACCTTCGTTTCATCATAGAAGAGATAGAGAACAACATACTGCACAATTGTTCATATCATATTTAGATTCCTGTTTGCCAACGCATTTTCAAACAAACATGTCAACTACTGTGCGCAATCGCGCAGACACGAAAAGAAGTATGAAATTGTTTTTAGAATTCATTTGAGAGCAATTTCATATGTACAAAGAAGAAAAAGTATGCAAAAAAAAAGGACTAAGGAAATCAGAAAGAAAAAAAATAATAGCTTCTGAGATCACAAAGACAAATTCGTTACTGTATTGATATTGAACAGAAATTGATTTAAGTAAAATTGAGATTATTTTTGAAAAATTTCATATATGATTTCCAACAGAATGCTCCACTAACTTGAAATTTTTTACAGCAGTCAACGAAAGCACCAGTGTTAAGACCGTTGTATCGATTTGAAGACTTTATGAAACAAATATATATTGAAACGAAAAATAGTTAAAGAATGAATGAATCTTTAGACGTATATGGATATTCTGAAAGAGATAAAACACATTTCAGTTGAGTCATATAGGAGGCAAAATGAAAATCTTTACATTTGAGATTAAAGAAGAGTAGGTCACAACAGACTTTAGTATTTTTGCTTAAAATTTTTAGTTCAATAACTCGAATATTTTTCGTTTGTTAAAAATTGTTTAATTAACTTTCAATTAAAACCACAACTAATAGCATATGTTCTCATTATTCAAATTAAATTGCCATCTACAAGAACGGTGAAAAGATATATACAGTATATGTATGAAGAAAAAAAATAATGTCGAGCTGTGATAGTCATGATGAATATATCTGATTATTTGGACATGGAAAGAGAGTAAGATAACCAAAACCAGGCTGTTTTTGGCAACATGCTAACGTTAGACTATTGTATTGACCACGACTGTCTTGACATTTACAATTGTATCCAGCGAAGATATTAAAAACAAGACAATGTCACATGATAATATTTTCTTTTCATATCAATTATAGTTGAAAACAGAAAGGAACTCACCTTGGTGTCAACAAACCGAGACAAATAAGTAGAAAGAATAATGAACGCATTATATAAATAAAAATGTATGTGTGAGTTGTAAACGATGATTGAAAATAAGCTTGATCGTGCATTCTTAAAGAAATTGAGCGTTATATTTATACTTGTTCTCTCAATTCTACGTAATTGGCATGCCGTCAAATGAATCTCATATGATAATTTTACCATTTAAAGATAAAAGAAAGATCTCCATCGATATGTATCGTTTGACGCAATAGCGATTTGAATGATGGCGTATACGAGTTTATTTTTAATTACATGTAATTATGTATAATGATCACATAATGATCTTGTTATCTACCACAAAATGAATGCATAAAAAGGTTCAAATATATTGATATGCACTCTGCTTTCTTCTTCATGTAAGAACATTCTCATAAGTGATTCACCAGTTTCTTCGTTCTTTGCGTGTACTGCTGGTGCGATACCGGTTTCGTATAATTGAAAGAACAAGTATAAATAAAACGCTCAGTTTCTCTAAGAATGAACGATCAAGCTTATTTTCAATCATAGATCATCACACACACGTAAACTATTATTTATATAATGCGTTCATTATTCTTTCTACTTATTTGTCTCGGTTTGTTGACATTAAGGTGAGTTTCTTTCTGATTTCAACTATCATCAATTTGGAAAACAGAAAGATTATCATTCAATATTCTCTTGTTTTTAATATCTTTGCTGGATACAATTGTAAGTGTTAGGATAGTAATGATCAGTACAATGGTGTGACAATGGAATGTTGTAAGAGACAAAAATATTTTGGGCTTGCCACTTATTATGGTCTAAATAATCAGGTATGACTACATATGCAATCATTATTCTGACATTCTTAGTCTGCTTTATTAAGTGTACAAACCGATTCAATGGTATTGATAGTGGTGCTTTCGATCAATGCTGTCGAAGTTATGGAATTGGCGGATCATTTTGTTGGAAATAATGGATGAAACTCTCTTCTTTCAATAACTTCCAGGACGCTCGAATCAATTATCTAATAAGGCATACAAATTTTTTTATTTTTATCTCTCCTTTTCGCTCTTTTTTCTTCTGTATAAACCAGAAAGGACTTTGAAGTGACCTTCACAAAAGTTAAACTACAGTGTGGTAATGGAATTAATACATGTTCTATTAAAGTCTAGTTTTTTCCTACTTGATACCATAGACCAAAATTTTAGAGTACTATTTATAGAGAATAGAGCACAATTTCATCTACATTTTGGTTTTATTTGAGTCTAAATTGTTATGAAACATGATAAATTGGACAGAGACAAAAGAACGTCAATAAAGAACATTTATGAAAAACTCTTTAAAAAATAAATGAATCTTATGTAAATAGAATGGAGAGAACTATCAAGACATCCTCTACTAATATTGTTATTATTATTACGTTTAAATAACTGTGTACGAAACTGAGTGTAAGAATTAACTATACAGAAGGAAGAGAAAAGTATCTGGGTGTGGATTTTACTATTCTCTTCTCTCCAGATCCTACAAAAGAAAAAACAACACTGTTGCTTCGAATATATTATGGAAAAATTTGTCAACATCACAATTTTATTGTATCTCAGAAACCAATAGTTAAATTATCAATGCAGTGTTGTAGTCGCTCATCGGTTCTCCATACATATAAAATGCTACCCTGTCATATCTGTTCAGAAAATGACGACCAAAGTCAAATGATTCGAATGATTCCAATTTTCCCATAAAAGGAACATATTTAGTCTAATAAGATCTAAATCTTCAATAATGTCGAGCAGAAAAATAGGTTTTTTAAAAACTAGTGTTTTTTTAATAGTTGAAAACAGTGGATTTGCATCTTTCAATCCAATGTGCTCACTTCAAACAGTGAATACAAATATATGTATGCAAAAACACAGAATTCCTAAATTGAATGGTGAGGCGAATTTTGAATTGAATTAAATTAACAGCCTGACTTTCTTCAGTATCATTCGAATTCGTTTCATCTGTAGATAATGGAGAACTCTTGCTCTATCTTTTTTCACTTTCAATAAGCACCATGTATTTACTATTCATTTTCAATGAATGATGAGTTCAAGAAATGATCATTTTATAAGTTAAGTTTACCAGAATATGGTAAAGAATTCAATTAGTGATAATTCAAGTAGGTAATTATAATTGTATTTCATGATTATCTGAAAATTGAGTACATGAATGATAATTCAGCTTGCAATCTATTCTTGAAGCTCATTTCTATTTATCTTGTTTGCTGTTGGCTGAATAATAGAATTCGGACTATTATTTTGCATTCAAAAGCCAATACTCGATGACTTCGGATTGTATTGACAACGAAACACAACATTGCTTTGAAGCTCAATGATCATTAAAAAATATTTCAAAGCAATGATTATTTTATTCTTTCTTAGAGATGATAGAATAGCAACGAGTGTAGAGAGAAGATTCAGCAGCTTTCTCTTCTCTCTCGTTCGAGTTAGGAAAGGAAAACAATAATGATTCAGAATAGACTACTGTAAAATATTGAGCGTTGGTGGTGTAACGGTTAGCATGGTTGCCTTCCAAGCAGCCGACCCGGGTTCGACTCCCGGCTAACGCACAGTTCTTTTTGTTCTTATTGCTAGAAATTCATTTTATCTTCGAAAGCAATAGTACTGAGTCAAACAGACAGCGAAGGAAAAAAATCCATGAAAGTTTTTGATCACATACACAAAATGTTCAAAACATTTTTGAAATATTGTCGTTTTTATTAAATATATGATATTTCTAAGAATCTTATTCTATTATATGTTCAAGGTATTTGTCCTTAATAGAAAAGTTGAGATGAGAAAATGATATTGGATGGATGTATGAGGCTATTGTTTACACCTATCATCACTTATTTTCATGCATTCTGAATCCGTTTTTCTTAGTCACTACAGCTCGCCCATCCAATGTCATCCTCACTCACAATCAGACAGGGATTTTGACTTCAAATATTTAAAACAAGCTGTAACTAAGAAATATTGCTCCATTTTATATTTTCAAACTTAAACGATATGTAACAATACAGTTATTTTAATGAGAATTCGTATGCCTAATAATTTCTCTGTACAAACTATTCTCTCTAATGAGTGTTGATTCGTAATAATAGTTGCTTTTTTTCTTTTCCCAATTGTCGAATCTTTTTATGGCGCGTTTCCTACCCATTATTCTTGCTTGTTCAAACAGTAAATGGCTACCTTCTATTCATTTTGTCCAACGATAATATTTTTTTTCTTTGGAAATCCTATACAAAGAGTGCAGATATCATACATAATACAAATAAACACATGATACGTGGTCGGAAGGGCTGTGGATATGACTCTTCTCTTCAGTCATAGCTACATCTACACTCTTGCTTTGACATATTTAACATTCATGAAAAGCTTATGGAAATTCCGTGCATTATATCAAAAAATCGATTTTGAATGGAAAGAACGGCCCTTAAGTTTCAAAAATATTTACTATTTCTACTTAGTATATCCTGAATATTTTGCACCGAAATGAACACAAATTAAACTGGAGTATCTCATGCGACATGTAGTCTTATATTCTACACTGCTCACGTCTTCTGTAGAAGGGAAGATTTTCAGCGGTATCATAAGTATATGGAAGTTACAGCATAACATCTATTTATATTTTCTTTAAAAGTTCAGCTATTTTTTTTGATCAATACAAAACAAAAATACTATTAGTTTAAGTTATCTAAGAGAAAAACTATTATAAATAGATTCAGAAGAACGTTACTTGCTTCTTATATTTCAGTGCATGTAAGTGAGATGCTTCATCAAAAACCATTTGTAGTTTTTGGTATATATTTGAATATATTGAACAATCAGAAATATATTGACTAACTTTATTCCAACATTGAAATGCTAAATCAATATTATCCAATCTGTGATATAATAAACCAGCATATAAATATAAATCAGGAATTTCCTTCATACAAAATTCATCAAACGGTCTTTGAGCTCTATTTTCACAATCGATACCTTTTTGATAATAATTTAAAGCTGTTAAATCATTATTTGTATGATAGTTTAAGTCACCTAACATTCTAAATACTAGAATAAATTGTGGATCTTCCTGCAAAGAATAGTTTGCTGATATTTTTACAGCTTGTTCAAGATTGATTGATGCATTTCGATGATGTACTATTTCGCCGGTTTGTTTAAATAAAATATACTCCAATGATCCTATATCGATATAGAGTTGTTTTAGAATAAAAGGAATTTTTCTTCGTCATCGTTTAATGTTAAAAGCTTTATCAATTGCTTGTTTATAATTGTCTATTGCTAATTGATTTTCTTTCATACATTGATAAACATCACCTATTTCACGATGCGCATCAAAAATAAGTCTATCGCAAGATATTTGATTTTTTTGATATACTTGGAGAATATTATGAAAATAGTTCAATGCCATTTGTCTATGAAATAGCTCATTATTTTCCTTTTTCATTGCAGCCAGATAAATACCTCCGATGGTATCATATAAATCAATAATTTCAGTATTAGTTTCGTCCAAATATTTTAATTTCATTTCTAAAGCTTTTTGATATGATTCTAATGCTTGTTCATTATTAAAGAATTCATGAAAATATATATTTCCCATGCCAACAGAACTATAGGCAACTTGATAATAGTTTTCCGACGGACAAAGTTCTAATGCTTTCAAATAATATACTAAGGATTCATTCGTATGTCCAATCAAATGATACATATCATCTAGACGATCTCAAAGAGATACTGCTTTTGTGCAAGTATCTTCTGAAGTTATATTATCTTTTATTAAATCGAAAGCTTCCTGAAAATATTTGGGTGTGGATGTGGGTGTGAGAGTATTCTTCATATGACACACCCACACCCACACCCACACCCACACACCCACACCCATATAAAATATGAAATAAATATTAAAAAACTGATTGTCACACTAAATGTCACGCAAGACTTTATTAAGAAAATGTCATGAGATTTTATTAAGAAAAATGTCATGAGATTTCATTAAGAAAATGTTACGTGACATTATTATGTGCATAACTACTTCACAGCTGAAACCAAAATAAATACTTCATATACCAATTGATTTCATATTTAAAGAGCTATCAAGAGTCATGCGAATTCATACTAGATTGTGTTTCGCAACTTAATAAATTCACAGAAAAAGGTCACTAATTATATACCTTCTCTAACTGACTGCGCATTTACAAATTTTATCGCTTTGTATGTATGAAAAACAAATATAATTTACAAAAAAAATCATGTTGTTTCAAGTGATAATTCTAAATTAAACATGGTTCACCGTTACAAACCATATGCTGAGCACTAAAATCTAAAATACTGTCAAAAAATTCAACTGAGACGTGTGCTGGCAAGTCATATAATCTTGAATTTAAACAGTTATTAAAAAAAAAACTCTTATATCTCGGCCAATTCGACAGTGGTAATCGGGAAACTTTATTCATAGTAACCTGTCATATAGTACTATAGAATGCACTAATCACCGTTTTCCAGATCGGACATATTTTTTCATCCATTTTTTCTCAAAATGGTACAATAATTTTGCAATTCTCTCATATATTCGTATGCATATACATGGACAAATCAGAAACATTCTCGCCCACTTTCTAATATGCAATAGAAGGAAAAAAACATTGAGGGTGTGAGTTAAAGAGCCACTTTCAGAAGGCAAAGTGTTTTTCTTTCGTCGAATGGCTAATTCAATATAACTGTATGCATTCCTATTCCCCATGACGAACGAAGAAAGTCAATAATTTATTATACGCCTGAGCACATTGATGAAACCAGATAAATAAAGTAATCCAAATTTACATAAAAATACAAAGTTTTGTTAAACTAATATATTTGGTCTCTAAGCCGAAAAATGAATAAGAAATCACCAGAATTAGTTTGCTTTCTGAGTTATCAATATCAACACGATGGCTACATGGACGATGTAAATAATGATACATCAAAAATCATCGCACCAACTGCGACAACTTGAAGAAAAAATTTCCTTCGTCAAACATCAATTAAAGTTGAAGAAAAAGTCGATGAATTAGAACGAGAAGCAGACCTCGTTCATGGCATATCAGGACGATCATCATTCACTCGAATGACATCTGTCGATCACAATCAGTCTTATCGACCAACATACCGATATTGTCATCGAACCAGCATCTCTGAATACAATGATTGAAACTAGTGTAACACATCATGCAATAAAACCTGGCAGTAAACGGGTACTTCGGAATCTTTTATTTAATCTTCTTGTATGGATCATTGTACTACTTCCGTTTTGGATTCCATTTCTTTCGAAGAAAGTTGCTTTCATTATGATAGCATCGATTCAGGGTGTTTTCGTTTTCATGTGGACTAGTAAGGCAACTCGAAAAAGCTTTTATTTTTGTCAATAACCCAAACAATTTTAATTTTTCTAGTTATTGCAATATTGGTCGTGAAAAACGTTGTGATTTTGTATGTGAATCACTCGCGTAATTATGCAGATGATATCGCAAGACTCGAGAAAACACGCATTCGTCATATTGTTGATATCTGTTGTTAGAAAGAACCACTCGAATTGATTATAGCAAGTGTTGAGTCAGCGGCTAATCAGACCGAAGTACATCGAATAATCATGGTGATCTCTGTTGAAGAGAGAACATCCGATAAAGAAACGAAATGTAAAGCTTTAAATAATAGATTCAAAGATGCTAGATTTGAAAGAATCATATTTACTATTCATCCATATGGTTTGCCAAATGAAGTTCCAGGAAAATGTTCGAATTCAAATTATGGTCTTCGAATAGCTTCTAGTCAAATGGCTTTCGCTCTTAGCGATATGGAAAATATTCTTGTGACAACATGTGATGTTGATTCGAAATTTCCACCAAATTATACTGCAGCATTGACTTTGAAATATCAACAAGAGAATAAACCAGCATTAAGTACGATATATCAGCGCCTTTGTTTTACAATTGAAAATTGGATGGTTTATCATTTTTAACGCGTGTCACCGGACTTTTGAGAAGTTTATTAATATTGTGTGCACTTATTCCGTTCAATATCAATACAATGAGTACTTTTTCGTATTCATTCAGTCTAGCAAGAAAAAAGGAAGCTTTATTCATCCTGGTGTGGGTGTGGGTGCAGGGTTGGGCGTGAGGTTGTTGCGGGTCTGCGTCAGTTTGAACATCGTCTCGTACCACACCCACATCCTATTTGGTTTGGCGAATAGATGTGTTTTTATTCAAGTTCAGTTGTATGTATTGAGTTCAGAGTCAAATTTTTTCACTCAAACCAGTTTAGTACGCAAATTTTTGTGCAAGCAAACATGATAAAGAAAAGGACAATGTGTCTTCATAGCACATGTCTTATGGGTAGGTACGCAGCTGTCTCTCATTCTATGATCACAAATATATAAGCCTTCGCTGCTCCCTCTTTATCTCTTATTCTTTGTACAACATTATTTTCTTCGTTGTCTATCGTCATTCAAGAGGATTATGTCCCGAAAACGAAGCTTCTTTATGTTGTTGCTCTTAATCCACTGTGTCTTCACACAAGAGAGGTCTATTGCACCCATTGGTAATATCTGTACGCCTGACCAAAGCATTGCCAATGGAACTTTGTTGATCATTAATAAACACATCGCTGCAGTGGGAATTCATGTCACCATTCCGAAAGATGCAATTGTCCTACACACGAACGGTATTATCTCGCCCGGCTTGATTGATTTGCACAACCATCTTATGTGGAACGTTCTCCCACGCTGGAAACCGATCGAACAGTTTCGCAATCGATACGAATGGTTGAATGGACCACTCTTTCGAACTTTTTTCAATTCTCCATATACAGCGGTCATTAATGCAGGACTCGAATGCGCAATGCAACAGTACGCCGAGGTCAAAGCAATCACGCAGGGTGCGACTAGTGTCATCGGTAGTCTGATCGAGGCATGCAATCGTGGCTTGGCACGCAACCTAGCCGATGATACAACACTCGGCAAAATCCTGTACAATGTCTCTCCTCTGGAAATGACAGAAACCGAGGCCCAAGATGCGAAAGACGTGCTTGTCTCGAACGGATCTTTCATCATTCATCTAAGTGAGGGATTGCCGAATGATGCAGCATCCGGACGTGAGTTTTCCATGCTCAAAAGTCGTGGGTTGCTGATTCCAGGCGTTTCTCTTATTCATGGTGTTGCTCTAAAAGCCAGTGACTTCAGCGACATGGCAAAGGCTAGTGTTGGTTTTGTCTGGTCGCCACGTAGCAACCTGGAGCTTTATGGTCAGACAGCAAACGTGGAAGCTGCAAAAAAAAATGGCGTAATTATGGCACTTGCACCCGATTGGAGTACGACCGGCAGCGATGGTCTGCTTGCCGAGCTAAACTTTGCTGCGACATGGAATGCGGGCCTGGAACATCCTCTATTTGACGATCGTACGCTAGTACAAATGGCCACAACTAATGCCGCCAAACTGGTTTATCTTGACAAACGCTTGGGTTCATTACAAGAAGGATTTTTGGCTGACGTCCTCGTACTCCATCCAACGCACTTGGTTCAGTCAAATGAAGATGCATTTTGGGCAATTACTCATTCAACGCCTGAAGAAGTCGCATTAGTAATGATCGACGGCAAGCCTGTATACGGTGATTCCGCAATAATGAAGCAGCTAACAGGAATAGCGACCACACTTGAATCAATCGAGATATGCGGCGTGCAGAAAAGCATTTCCTTTGCAGAAGAATTTGGCGACAAACATACATTCCATGAAACTGAAGCAATGCTTCGTGCTGCACTTCGGCACTGGAGTCGTACACTGGGTCCACTCTCGGATTGTGGAGTTTAAACAGATGAAATTATACCCTGTAAAAGAAGCCGATTGAGAGCTAGCCATTGGATTAACATCACCTTCAAACTCTGCTATTAGTAGAAAAATACTAGCACTATTACATCTCGGAAAACAGAATGTGAATCTATTCAAACTGGCTTTTTCTTATTGAATAAAATGAACTGCTTTCAGATATCTTCAGGTATTTTATCGAGCTATTGAGCATTGTTTTTTCAATGATCGTTAAAAGTCCTTTCTCAATGGTCTTAAAGACCATCACAGGAACTTGTCATCATTCTTTTCCTTCGATTCAATGAATCCTGTTCCAATCTAAACATCGTGATTACAGCAATCTACATTCATGCACAAAAAGATAAATCTGCCTTTCCAATACTTAAAACATCGGCATTTCTCCGTCATGAGCACCTATATTGAGGATGTATGTAGAGGTGTCACTCATCCAGAACTCTTTAGATAGGTACTTGCGACGCCAAATGGCAATGGTAGCTAATATTTATGCTGAAGGACTTTCCTGTTCCTTTTATAATCTCCAACTTTGTAAAGGTGATCACCGATTTGGTTAGAAGTATAGTATTGACAAAAATGCTCAATGTGAAAATTGCTTGACCATACTCCGAGCTAAATAGGTCTCTCAGGAAATTGTTTTTCAAGCCAAGATAAAGACACATTCATAGGTTGCTGGTCGAGTCCATAACCTCGTCGATCGTGTCGAAAAAAATAAGCGATGGAGCTTCCCGTCTTTGCCCGGAGGACCTAAGTTACGAGAGAATTCTAATGACTGAGCAATCGCAAAATCGACATACTTGCCATTGTTGTTATCATGCCCTATCCAAATCGCTTCCCACGAATCTGTAATCTTATTTGAAGACGATTGTGAAGTTCAGAATCGTTTTCTAGCCGACGAACGAAGCTAAGACTCGAGGTTATACTATTCATAAAGAAGGGTAAAACCGTCAAGATGTGCTTCATGAAAAGTCTGTTGATTAAGTTGAGACAGTAATTGATTGTCGGTATCGATAGTACGACAAAGAACGAATAGATTATACATTGTAGAAGAAGGATCTATTCTATACAAAGTTAGATGTAATCTGACTTAATAGAAAAAGTGATTGCGCTATTACAATCAGAACAGAAACCTCTAGTTTTGAAGTGTTTCGATTGACCCATAGATGCACAAAGTTTCTTTACACAGTCTTTTGAAAACCTACCGAATACATAGCAGGGATTAAAACGACAACAATCAAGGTTACCTTATCCAAACGAGTGAAAGTGGTTGAGTACTCTCGAGGAAAGTCTCTTAGAAGATCTTTTTTTAGGCATTTTTGATGTTCGTGTGGGTGTGGCTGTGGGGGAAGAGAATGTCAACTCCAGCAGGCACACAACATCCCAAATTACCCACACCCTTATTTCATACTTAATGGCATGCTTGAATATCTTTCAATTAGATTATTTTTTGAAGTATGAGATCTAATTGAGCTTCAGTTTAATATAAAAAAATGGGCTATTTGCTTTTTCAATAATTGATGAGTGACTGGTAATTATTATTGTTGGTCTGAACTCTTGACCAGCAGAACTATAACATTCATTGGTTAGATGACTAGCTGACTCAAATTAAGTAATCGAAGAAGAATTGAAATCTTGTTGTGTGTGATATTTATCTTAATTTCAGGTTAGAAACTTTTCACATTTCAAGAATAGTTCCCATTTTTTGATGATTAATAGATGGTAGTCACTCAAGGGCAAAATATGATACTTTTGTACTTTAAAGTACGTTAAAGTACGGTAAAGTACATTAAAGTGTTATAAAGTATGTGAAAGTATCTATCAAAAATTAAAAACATCAGACTGCTTGATATGGTGCTACACTTTCTTCGATAAAACACCAAGAACTGTACATTCATATAGTAAATAACTCGCAGGATTTTGATCGGATTGAAATGCTAAGTTAGTTTTGTAACCTTCTACTCTGATGTAGGGAAGGGGAGTTATCGTTGTCTTACCACGGACCAGATGACTAAGAATTTGTTACTCCACTTTCTCGATACGGGAGGGATATTTCGAGGAAATAACGATTTCCAATAAAGTTTGACAAAAGGTGATCTGGGTCAAGGAATCCGACTCTGTTGTCGGTTTCACAAAATTCTTCATCTTGATTTCTCTTTATAATGTATGTATGTGTATGTATTTATACACGTACCTGAAAAGGTATTGGGTGAAGACAAAAAAAGATACAAAGGAAAATTACATAAAAGAAAAAGCAAATGTTCTAAGAGTCAATGTCATGTTCGTTCGTCGATGAGTTCCAGCAGCCAGCGGGTTTGTTCCAGTTGTCACCTCCACGACATAAAGACGAGGTTTCAGTGACGACCTTCATTTAATACTGTCTACTTGGAAATCAGCTTCTTCAACATTGGATGTAGACTGCTTGTCAGTCTATAGTTAANAAATTCATATCATATTTCCCATATAATGATTTACTCAACATGTTGAATAGTGTTAGTAAACATAACTCTTCTATTAGTATAGTTTTTCGTTCATTCGATTTTCATATGAAAAATAAATCTATTTTAATCGATTAAACAGCTCAAACAACTATGGTTCATTTCCATTTCCAACACGTCGAAATGATTTTACAGATGATTATGAGATATTACCAGAAGTGTTAGGTCGCGGTGTCAATGGTAAAGTATACAAATGTCAACATCTTCGAACAGGACAAAAATGTGCTCTTAAAGTATATCTCTTCAATTTATTTTCATAAATATATCAATTAATTTACTTTTGAAATTCTCGTAGATTTTGAACGATTCAATCAAAGCTCGACGAGAAGTTATCTTGCATAAAAAAGCATGCGAAAATTGTCAATACGTTGTGAAAGTGCTCGATGTCTATGTACGAATATTGTTGTCGAGTTCCTTGTGCTTTCTTCTCTTCTATTACTCTATTATTGATTCATTCTTTTTACTTATTGCAGGAAAATATGTTTCGATCCAATCGAAGTATATTGATGGTAACAGAATGGTACAGTTGATTTTTCATCGATCTATGAATTAAAATATATTAATTAAAGAATCTTTATTCTAGTATGGAAGGTGGTGAACTATTCAATCGTATTGAACAACGAAACGATAAACCATATACCGAACGTGATGCTGCCAGACATATTTGGATGCTTGTTCAAGCTGTTCATCATTTACACACAATGGATATAGTAAGACTTTTAAATGTTTTTTTGTATTTTTGTAAATTTTTTGTTGTTGTTTGCACTATTTAAAGGCTCATCGTACGTAGTTTTATAATGGAAAAATCAAATGTGAAAATGATTAACTATTAAATTTATGATTATAGGTGATTTAAAACCAGAAAATCTACTCTTGACAGATAAAACAAATGATGCTATTCTTAAACTTGGCGATTTCGGGTTTGCTAAAGAAGGTAAAAATAATGGCTATTTAAAAACGAATAAATTGACTTTTTATTATGTTTTTGAAGGAAACAATGAACCGCTGCCATTGAAAACTCCATTGTATAGAAATAAATGAATAATATCGAACATTTTCACTAGATTTTCTCGTTTAGATTTACACCGTATTATGTTGCTCCAGAGATTCTGTCCAACACAAGATATGACAAAGTAATACGCTAATCATGTTTTTTATTTTGATTGTCCATGAAAGAGAAAATCAAATTTGACAATATGATTTACATCTTATTGAATTTAAACATAATTTTACTTGTTGTTCTTATCTGAGAAGTTCAAAGAATTTTTCTTACTTTGTTTTATTTCTTGTAAAATAGGCCTGTGATATTTGGTCTATGGGTGTTATTATGTACTGTCTACTATGCGGTTATCCACCTTTCTTTCGAAAAAATGAAGAATACTCAGATTCTCCTATGAGAAATAGAATCAAAACAGGTGATTATCAATTTCCAGATGTCGAATGGCAAAATATCTCACAACAAGCAAAATCAACTATTGAACAAATGCTCACAGTTACTCCAGCAAACCGTATTACAATTAGTGAAATTCTCAAATGTTCATGGTTTACTGAATTGAATTCCGCAAGATTAATCGATATGAGTCCACTTCAAGATCCTGAAATTCGAGAACAATTAGAAGTGAGTTTAAAATAGAATACCTGTATAATATTTACTTTAATTTAATTGTATTTTTATTATTTTTATAGGCCATGGGTGAGTAATCATGTTGATGTATGTACAACGGAAAAATAGTTCATTAGTCATTTTTTATTTTAGTTATATCTCCTAAGCATGGGCATCATCGAACCGATGATGATTTAGGCACTGAAATATCTGGACCAGAATCATCACGTTTAGCTAAACGAGCGATTAAAAGAAAAGAACAAATAGGTCTTACCAATGAAACTGTTCGTACAATGAGAAACAAATCCGAACATGATTATGATGAAAATTCAACGGCTGTATTAACAGAATTGAAAAATCAGTCAGATCTACCAGATAACAGTTAGAATTATCTGTGTTATAAGTGTTATTTTCTTTTACTTTTATTCAAGAGAACAGTTGCTTTCATAATGTAAATATTCTCAATGGTGTAAAATAAATCATTCAGTAGTATTTTCAAATTTCTTAAACATTGTTTTACATTTTTAGTTAATGTGACTGTACAATCGATCGAGTTTCCTTTTTGAGTAATACTACTACGTAACTAAAACTAACAGCGAATTCAAGTGTCTCTTGTTTACATTGACTTTTGGATTTAGGATGGCTCACTAATTGGTTGGGATGAAGGCAGAGCTAGGTTTTCTATCGATCGATATAATTTTTATTCAGAGTTTTCAAACGAAAAAATAACGTGTGGCTGTAGAGAAAGAGAGGAATAACAGATACTTTCAGACACCCACACGCACACCCTTCCATAGGATTAAGTCTCTCTTCAAAATGATATTACTTCATATTCACAGGATCACTGCCCCAGACACTTGCGAGTGAAATTGGTGACTCATGTCTCATAGAATTTTCTATAACAACATCATCACACAATTTATGTGATAATGACTCGACTTTATTTCGAAAAGGGATTTTTACAGAGTAAATATGCATATCTCTCTTCGAAAGTTACAAAATAGTTTTAAAAAATACGTTGGACAATATACTTCACTCAAAGGTCTAAATCAAGACGATTACCACATTCACACCCTCCACTATATTTTCTTCTAATCAAACGAATTCATTTTAATAGTTATTTATTTTTAGCTATTAAATCTTTCTTCTAGAGTCAATATTTGAAAAAGAATATAAAAAAAAACATCCGAATAATAAAACTTCTTTAAAGAATACGAGATTTTCACTCAAATATTAAGTTTATGATTCATTCAATTTTTCTTCTTCGCTTTCCAACATAAGTAACACGTGACAAAAAGAAGAAACACAATAGTTTCTTTCGTCCTGTTTTTATTTTATCACAGGTAAAAAGAAATTATTTTGAGAGTAGCACTCATAATTGCTGACATCAGTAAGAAGTAAACTTGTCAGATACTAATAAAGAAGGAGTGTGGGGTATGAGTGTGTCTTGATGTGGGTGTTAGTGAGGAATATGAATATGAGTAAAAACAAGAAGAACACCTCCCAAGCAGACAAACTTTTTCAAAAACGCGTTTAAACGCATGAAAAAGTGTTTTAAAAATAAAAAAAGTGGACGTTTTTCACTCACAATCGCGGTTCCCGACTGCAGGGCTGGCCCGAGTCAGCAAACATTGGGGAGTTGTCGCGATTTTTTGGGGGGTTGTTTCGGATATTTTTAATGCGAATAAAACTTTTATCTAACACTACTCACGAAAAAAAATTCATTTTTGCTGGGTAAAAACGAAAATTTTCGATTATTGGGGGAGTTGTCACAACCCCCAAAACCCTTATCGGGCCAGCCCTGCCCGACTGTGAGCGAAAAACACCCATTGTTTGCCGTTTTTGTGCGTTTTCACGCGTTTTCAGCCAAAATACGATGGTAGCAGCGTATAAACGCATAAAAAAAGAACATAAAAACTAGTGGTCTTTTTCATAATCGTTAATCGCAATCATGATTACAATGACAGTTTACGATTATGAAAAAGACCACTAGTTTTTATGTTCTTTTTTTATGCGTTTATACGCTTCTACAATCGTTTCTTGACTGAAAACGCGTGTAAACGCACAAAAACGGCAAAAAATGGGTTTTTTCGCTCACAGTCGGGAACCGCGATTGTGAGCGAAAAACGTCCACTGTTTTTATTTTTAAAACACTTTTCATGCGTTTAAACGCGTTTTTGAAAAAGTTTGTCTGCTTGGGCTACGTTCACATTCGCATCGATACCCACACCTGCAAGAATCCATTAAGACAGCTCATGTTCTAATAAAAAGTTTTAGTTTAAGTTATAATGCTATGCAGGGTTCAAAACACAACCAACTGAGTTGTTTTCGTGAATCTTATGTATATTTGCATTGGGGCTAAAAAAGGCAAAGATGGTAACCGTAAACTCGTAATTACTCATAATTGTACTAGCTATCTGAATAATATTTTGAAAAAGAAAAAAGTGTGACAAGGATATGTCTCATAAACTAATCCTAAGAACTGTACTTACTAGATTCAACTATTGAGTGAATCTTAAAGAATAATTATGATGATTGTGAAAAAACAAGATCTATTATCGAACAGCCGCTCTTCTATGCTGAAATTGTCCTATTCTAAAGAAGCCGAATATTATTTACAAGGCTTATAACTTCAGCTGGGACTCGTACATTAAATTCCTTAATCTTCAAAATGCTGTTCACATTCTACGATATACGTAGATCCCCGATTCTCCTGTTAGCGTAAATCCTATATCTTGGTATAGATCAGTCAGGGATTATACATGACGAAAAATACAATTCACGTTCATTCGAACACACTACATGTATTGTGACTGACAATCAAAATATACAGTCCCATTTTGAAGATATGATGCAAAAGAAAATAAATGTTCTATTTTGTTTTCTGTTACATAAAAGTGCACTATTTTCGTGTGAAATGTTGTACTATGTAAAGAAGAATAGTGTTTCCTGTGGTGTTGCTTTCTATGTTATGACGGTTTTAATGTGAGAAAAGTTAAAATAAGGATATATCCAAAGGAAATCACCAAGTCCATATAGTGACTACCTCAGAATTTGGTACAAGCTTTAGGATTTGCAGAGATCTTTAAGCTTATCATTGTGGTACCAAAATACTTTACATTCACTCTTAAGTTCACAGAAATACTAGTCATCTACTGATGACAGTCGGTATCTAAAACATTATTATCTTTGTCGAAAATAATTTATAGCACGTCAGAATATGAACTCAGTGAAATTCTAATTATATATTCCCACTCCCTATGTGCACGGTGACTAATAAATATTTTGACGATAAAAAATTTGAATATCTGAGCCCTATTTCAACCTATTGGGCTGATTATTTTTATAGATGATAGAGGAATGCTCAAAGTTTTTTTCATAAGAAAACTATCAACGGATACTGGTTTTAACACCCATTATTGAGTTCAATTAGTGTAGCATTTCTAATATTCTGAGAAAAGACATTCATAACATCTCGTGCAGATTTTCTTGATTCTGACGTCAAATAATAATAAGACAAAGTCAAAGTAACCTTTATTCAAAAAATCAAAGTGATACACAAACCAAAAGTTGAAGAAACAGTCATTTCATATGCTCAAACTGATGTTCATCAGCATCAACACATCGGTGGAATCTTTCAAGTACTGATTCACAAATCTTCTTGCAAAGATCAGAATCGAGTGTTTGAAATGCTGACATAATTGATTACTTGAGATTCGATAGACTGTTAGTCTTGCTTTTGTAAACGATTTCTTCGAGATACTCTCACAAAAAGAAGTCTGTAGGTGCTAGATCAGGCAATCTTGTAGCCCAATCGATGGGATCTCGGCGACTAATCCATCTCGCTGAAAACTTTCGTTTAAGTCACTCTCTGACATCACGTGCAGTATGAGCAGAAGCGCCATCATGCATGAAAAAATGGACTCTTTGTTTGATAATTGACAAAACAGTGGAATGAAATAATTATTTAACATGGAGAGATAGTTTTGCCCAGTCAGTGTGGTTTTGAAGAAAAAAGGACCAATGACTCCTTGAGACCAAATGCCTGCTCACACTGTAAGTCCTTCGGGTTGCATCGCATGCTTCCACACGATATTTGGATTCTCTGTCGTCCAATAAATCGAATTGTGACCATTGATCCTGTCATTAAGTTTGAACTTAGTCTCATAGAACCAGATCACTCTACTTATAAGATTGAGATCATTCTCTAGAAGAGAGAAGAATGCTTCACAGAATTTTATTCGGCGGTCAAAATCCTCTTCGTTAAGTTCATGAACTAATCGTGGAATGTATGGTTTGAATCCAATATTCTTGTAAACACGTCGAATTGAAGCCTATGAGATATTTAACTACAAACTCATGCAACGAGTTGATGTCTGAGGTTCCTCAGCTAGGATTTTGAACACTTCATTCATGGTGCTCTGACCAGAAACAGATACTGATCGACCAGATCGATGAATGTCAAGCAAAGAGCCGATCTGCTCGAATTTTGTTCATTACTGCATTTATTGTAGATCGAGTGGGAGGCTCGTTCACCATTTCCTTGCGCCAAAGTCTCTGCACATGAATTGAATAGTGGAGTCGATACATTTTTTTTCCCTATTCATACTTTGTTGTCAATATTAAGTTGACGACGAGCCATGATTTGCGCTCAACTAGATAGAAACTGAATAGAATCAGAATAGAATGAACACAAGAATAGTATTTATACTAGAGCAACTAAGAGAGAAAAGATATGTATAAAATGTAAAATGTACAGAAATGAAGAGAGTGAATGCACTTGAATAATCCCGAAAGGAGCAGAGAAAATACATGCGTGTAAATAGAACACAAGAGCAGAAAGACACATACATATGTGGTGGTGCTCACAATGACGCTGATGATAATAACATTAAAGAAAAAAGAGAGAGAGAGAGAGAGCAGTCTTATGAACTGACCAAGAGTGAAGATAATAGCAGTGATGTTACTGAGAGGAGAGTAAAACCAACTACGAAGCACAAAAAGTAAGAAATGGTCCATCACATGCCTCAGAAGACGAATTGCAAGCATAAAGGAATTTGTGAAGTGATTTCCTACTAGTGTAAAATGCTATACTGCCTTATTGAGGTCAATGGCGGTAGTTAAAAGCAGTATTGATTGATGGTTTTCTTATGAATAAAAACTTTGAGCACCCCTGTATCATCTATAAAAAAAATCAGCCCGATAGGTTGAAATAGAGTGGAGATATTCACATTTTTTATCGTAAAAGTATTTATGACTCACCCTATACAGCTATATTGAAATTCATGTGACTTTTAATCATCGCTCTTCTCAAGGAGAGCATCAATTGATAATCTTCAATAAATATTCACATACTGTGTATGTGTTGAAACCACAAAATGAACCCGTATAGTGGTACTGCACAGTAGATAGAGCAGAAGTTGCTCTACAACATGCACTAATCAGTTTTTCTTTTACATTTAATTTTGAAAGATACAATAACTGAGATCATTTTGTCGGCATCTTTTTTATCGAAACTACCAAGGTTACAGACGAATTCGGTGTCCATGACATTAATTTTTAGTAGAACGAATACTTCAATTCCACAAAACAAGTCTCATTTATCTGTATGGAACAGTTCTCGGTGAAAATAATGACTATCATGAGTCTTTTAGAGCAAAACACCAGATTTCTGGTCTTCTAATCTCATACAAAGCCTGTAATTCAACCATAACTTGTCTCAATTTTAACCGATGTAAATCATCACCTGTTGTTAGAAAGTCTGAAAATATCTTGACTAGTTTTCGTATTCATAGCAATCGTTTGGCACACTAAAAATATTGGACATAGTTGTCGCATTAATAGGAGAGCTTTGGGCTGTAGAAAATATTCTTTTGTTATCATCATGAGAACTCTTTGACATATCTATGAAATGAAACGAAATTATTCTTTCTGTTGAAAGCAAAGGTGTCCTAGACTTATTACTTTCTTCGTAAACTACTTGGAAATTGGTCTATCTATCGGATCGTTTAAAGGATATTAATCTATGATCATCTAAAATACTAGCACACTCACTAATTGAAATGAAATACTTTCCGTTTATCTAGTCTCGACATTAGCATAAAAGTGCATTGTTGTGATGAAGAATGCTATCAGAATCATCTTTTAATATGCCACATGATTCAGGATATCAGATACATGCAGAAAATACACTGTAAACTTGCAATCTAGATAAGTTTAGAAGCAAAATTTGTTTAAGACTAGACTTAGGCAAATAGTTTCGCTGAAGTTTAAAAATTAGAATTATGCTTTTTTATTATTAAAATGAAGTCTGTGATATTGTACCAAAGAGAACACAAGTGCATGGATGCAACCATCATTATTGCTTTTTTAGATATATATTTTCAAGATGAATCGAATTTACTCATCATTCGACACCAATAAAATAAATAAAAGATACCTCTGAGAAATATGAATCTGGAGTCGTAGTCTGTTGCTTTCATCACAATATATAAATAAACTTGCAAAAATTTAAACTTTTACATAAAAACGTAGTTCGCCTTATCTAACTATACGGAGTCCAGTTTGGGTAAGACTCAAGCCTTAACGAGTCTAGATGTCTTGTCATCTTTGTGTAGAATATAGCTGTAGGATTTCTGGTAAGAATTTAAAGCAACTTGTAAATCTAATTCACCTATATAACTCTTGTCCCAGAAAAAGATGAAATTTTTCAAGAACTTCAACGATTTTACACAGTTAACTTCTTCATAACGTTGTATGAGAAACGAAACCACTCACTATATAGAAGATAGCATGAGTCACATTATTGAAATAATTAATGAGAAATTTCGTGATCATTTATCCATCTATCCATTTTGAAGACCAATGAAATCAAGTCATTTCAATGAGACAAGATGAAAATAATACACTTCTATAGAGCTTTTCCAGGTGTATTGTTCTTTTCATTCGATTTATATAGGTTTTTATAACGAAAAAGACAATAGAGTGAATAATAACCTTCTAATCAAAGACTCCTTAGTTTGATTCGAAGAAAAAGCAGACATAAGTAACATAACTAAAGTAACAGTAGGAAGTGCCAATTCATGTGATAGTAGAAATAGGTTTTGAATCTCTCTATTTCATGAATATGTTTCATTGGGTACACTACACAAAAAGTGTCAGATAGCGTTATTTTCCCTATTTGGTAGATTGACACGCTCTATGTGAAGAAGGGTTTTCAAGGAAGAGAAAAAAAAAATATTCGCGTGACTATCAATCTAAGATCTATTTTTGGTTTTGTATAAGAAAAGGCTTCGAATCAAACATGCTCTGGCATGTCTGGTATATAGATTTTACATGAAGGCTTTCTTACCGACTCTAACATCAATAACATTAGCTGTACGTACTTAACCCTCTACTTTTATTTCTATACTTAAATCCTGACCTATGTAATTAACCTCATATTGATATATTTAATCGTTATTACTATGTCTAATCTCTTACTCCTATAACTTAGCACTTTTTCTTCTATGTCTCAATTCTTTTTTTTCCTGTTCTTACTGTCTTATTACTATACCTAACTCCTAAATTCTATACCTAAGATCTAGTTTCTATACTTAACCGCTTATAACTATAAGGTGTGCGTGTGGGTATGGGTTTGAATGTGGATCTTTGTCTCACACATAGATAACACTCCACCATTTATACATAACTTATCTTGACCACAGGCACTACTGTTGAGAGTGAATGACTTTAGTGACTATTTGATCGCTACCCAGAGACTTAATATCTATCTGATACCTTACGACATAACGCGATCTCCCTCATTCCCTCTTCATTTCTCTCAAACCCACCTTTGTCTCTTCACTCAGAAACTCAACACATTGCACCATTTTCCAATGCAATTGGGGACAACGGGTTACAACATCTCGCTGCTGCCTTACAAAATAACACAGTGATACTCGTTCTCTCTTGACTTCTCGCATATGTATCTTTTTCTCTACACATAGACACTCAAAGAATTACGCATGTTTCTCATCTACCATGAAAGAAATATTTCGTCATGAAATATTGAAAGATTACAACAACAAGACGCTCGGATAAAACGTATAGATGGCTCCTATGATAGCAAATTAGTTTAAAAGCAAGTTCAAATCGTTATTCTCGAATCTAACTTTTCAGAAATCAACTTCTGTAGATGATAATGTTTAAGAATTATTGCTCAACTGAGTTTTTTAAAATAATATTGCACAGTTTTGATTGTTAACACGTTTCATTGTCTTGGTTAAGATAGAACTTATTAGTGCTCTGTATTACAAAGAAATTTAATAGAAAATAAATGAAAAAACTGAAAGAAACTGAATAGAGTGCAGGGTATGGGTATGGATCTGGATGTGTTGTTGAAGAACAGAACAATATCTACATCCACCCTTCACAATATTGGCTTTTGTCAGCATCATGCGTGTGCAGCCAAGAGAAGACGATAAATTGATAAAGTCTGCGCTATTCATCACTGTTATCTATAATTTAATTGTTTGAATACGAAATCGCTACGGCCAAATCACAATAAGTTTTTTGCAAATCAAATGCTAAGTTTGGTTGTGTGTGAGTGTAGAATATGAATATAAGAGTTATTTCCGCACTCACTATTCACACTCTTACCTACCACCTCACATATATCCATATCCACAATCGCACTTCGCACGGCCATCCTCTTGCTTTGATATGCGTAACATTTATGGAAATTCAATGCATTCTATCAGAAATCGATTTTGAAGGAAGGGCAGCCTTAAATTTCAAAAATATTTTATATTTTTACTTTAGCGCATCATAAATCTTTTTCCCCGAAATGGATACACATTGGACTGCAGCACTCGATACGATACATAATCTTATTTTATACGGTGGTCACGTATTGTATAGAAGCGAAGATTTTCAGTTGTATCATAAATACAAGGAATTCACAACATAGCATCTATTTTCACTTTCTGTAAAAGTTCAGTTTTTTTATTTCATCAAAAGAAAACAAAAATGTTCGTTTAAGTTATCTAAGAAGAAAACTATTGTGAATAAATTCAAAAGAATGTTACTTGTTCTTTATATTTCAGTGCATGTAAATGAGAAGCTTTATCAAAAATCACTTGTAGTTTTTGGTATATATTTGAATATGTCGAATCATCAAGAATATATTGACTAGCTCTATTCCAACATTCAAATGCTAAATCAATATTATCCAACCTGTGAAATAATAAACCAGCATATAAATATAAATCAAGTATTTCTTTTATATATAATTCATCAAACGGTCTTTGAGCTCTTTTTTCACAATCGATAGCTTTTTGATAATAATTTAAAGCTCTTAAATCATTATTTGAATGATAGGTTAAATCACCTAACATTTTAAATACTAAAATAAATTGTGAGTCTTCCTGCAAAGAATAGCTTGTTTGTATTAGTGTAGCTTGCTCAAGAGTGATTAATGCATTTTGATTATGCAGTATCTCATCAGTTTGTTTAAATAAAATATATTGTAATAATCCAATATCGATGTACAGTTGTTTTAAAACTACAGGATTTTTTTCTTCATCATCATTTAATGTTAAAGCTATATCAATCGCTTGTTTATAATTGTCTATTGCTAATTGATGTTCTTTCATACATCGATAAACATCACCTATTTCAATATAAACATCTAAAATAAGCCTATCATAAGATATTTGGTTTTTTTGATATATTTGTAGGATACTATGAAAATAGTTCAATGCCATTTGTCCATTATATAGCTGATTATCTTCATTTGCCATTGATGCTAGATAAACACCCCCAATTGTATCGTACAAATCAATAATTTCGGCATTGGTTTCGTCTAAATATTTTAATTTCATTTCTAAAGCTTTTTTATAAGATATTAATGCTTGTTCATTATTAAATAATTCTTCTAAATATATATTTCCAATACCAACTGAACTGTAGGCAATTTGTTGATAGTTTTTTGATGGACAAATATCTAATGCTTTTAAATAATACACCAAGGATTCATTTATACATCCAATCAAATGATACATATCACCTAGACGATTTAAAAGAGATACTGTTGTTGTACGATTCTCGTCTGAATTTAAATTATCTTTAATTATATCAACAGCTTCCTGGAAATATTTTATTGCTTTTTGATTATTTCCTTCTTTTTCATGGAGTAACGCAATATCAATAACATTTTCTAGTGAATATTTTACTCGATCATCATATTTTGCTCGTTTTCTAATGATCATTAACATGTTTTCATTAATTGATTTTGTTTTTATTTGTGAATTTTTCAAATATTTTGAATTAAGCATAACATCATTGGCTTTTTCAGTATAAAACTTGGCTTTATCATTTTCATTTAGCTTTCTACAAATTGATGCAATTGAATAGTAAGTATCTACAATAAAATGATTATTCACCGGTAGAATATTCGAAAGTTGAAGAGCTTTTTCTAGATTATTGAATGCCTCTTGATAATGGTCAAGTTTAGCATAAATGATACCGATACGCTCGTATTGAAAACAAATATCAAGAAGATCTTTTGGAAAATGTTCTAAATAAATATTTAATGTCATTTTTGCAGATGTTAAAGCTTCACCATAATTCTCAAGAGAAAAATATACATCTGTTAAAGTTGAAAGAAGATTTTTCAATATTATATTATTGTTTGGTGCTAATTGAAAATAAATTTCTAATGCATTTTGAAAATATTTTAACGATTGATGATACTCATTCTGACGAAAATAGCTAATACCCATTTGATGAAACATATCAATTTGATGAGCTTTATCCAATATTGCTGAAGTATCTTCATCTTTCATTAGTTCGATAATTTTTTCAAAATATCTCAATGCAGATGTAAAATCATCAACTTGAAAATACTTCGCACCAATACATTGATAAATCTCTATTAATGTATCAATGTTTGTATTGTTTGTATCAATCCGTTTTTCTAATTCTTCTATACACGAACATTCTTGTGTTTTCAATAGTAATTTATATTGATTCGATTTAATATCTTCACCCATCAGATATAAATAATGAATGAAGGTTTTCATTGTTGTTACCGGTTTTATAGTGTTCTTTAAGTAATACTCAAATTGTCTTAATTGATTATTACTATTTTCTTGATCATCATTTATTGTTGTTAAATAAATATACCAAATCTGATCGATTTCTTCGATAGAAACAACTTGAAATTGTGTTCCTGCTGATAAAAGTATTTCAGATTCATCTTTCATATAACTATGTTGTCTGATATCCGCAAATGGTTTTTGAAAAATGTCAATATCGATACTTAATTCAAACAGAACTGACACTAAATCTGATTGGTTTTGTTCGACAGTAGCATACACTTTAGCTACTTCCTTATCCATTGTTGTTGATAAAAATGTATTTAAATAAGCAAAACCAGTTGAATTACATTTAATTTTTTCTAATTCATCCAATTTCATTGCTTGACCACGATAAAGTATAATATTTGTTATTTCACATTGTCGTACTAATTCAACAAATTCTTTATGTAATCGTTGTAATTGTTGATATAAATTTTTAACAAAAAATCGAAATATATAAATAATATCAATATTTTCAGTTCGAAAAGCTCGATTAAGTAAACGATAAACAAATGCATCTCTAGTATACCATTTAATAGCTTGATCAGATAGATATTCTTTTTTAAACTGATCAATAATATCTAATTGACTTTGATTATCACTATAATATGATCGACATTGTTCAATCATATCTTTTTTCGCTTTATCATCATCTTCATCACTCATTAATACAAGTATATCGACTAATATGTCAAACCATATGACCGATGGTCGATCATCACTAGAATTTCGAATAGAATTTTCGATGAAATTTTAATTTCTAGTTGATTTAATAATATCTTCTTTTAATTTGTTAATTAGATTATTTCTATCTATAAAAATTCCATGTATTTTATTATAATTTATTGTCAATTGTTGATATTTATTTTCATTGAAACAAAATATGTAGATATATTCAATTTGTGATAGAGAATGAATTTTCGGTACAATATCCAAACTAAATAAGCCTGATGTTATTAGAAATAATTTTTCTGTAGAACATTCAATAATATAATCCACACATTCATTAATATTATCAAATGTTTTTATATAATTGATAACTGTTCGAAAATGTTTTAATGTTTCCAAACATTCATCGGATTTATTTATTAAAAAATCAACCCAAATGACAGTAAAATCTTCAAGATTTATATCGCAACGAAGAATATTCGGCGGATAGGATAATGATGATTCTGAGTTATTTTTAGATAGATTCATACGACGAATCATATTGTATGGTATTGATGGAGGTAAAGGAACATTTTCACTTGTATCCATTTTCTTTCACTTTTGAGATAAACAAGAAACTAAACAGAATATTCATTCAATAGTTCGTATGAAATCTAGTAACAAAGTATAATAAGTCAACTGTAATGATAAATACAAATTTTGAATCGTTCCGTATCAGCTTTCGTAGTTTAATTTATTTTGAACGGAAGTGATTTTGCAATTAGTGAAATTCCAAATGCGAACAGTCGCATTTACAACGGCAATGAAGTTTTTTTTTCGCATACAGATAAAAACTCTCTAATATGGAAATAGATAGGCAAGCTAAACCATATTTAATAAATACGAATGGTAATCTACATCTGCACTAACATCGTCGAAAACAAAATGTTTTGTTAAACATATGCAGATCTCTATGTACCATTTCTTGATTTTATCATCAATAAAGAAGAATATGAAGAGATATGAAAGAAAATTCTAGAGTACGAAAATAGAAACTCAATGAACCAAATGAAACAGTTCTTTATCTAAACTAATTCTCGTTCTATTCTATTCGACAATGTGATAATTAAGTAAAAAAAAAATTGAATTGTATAGGAAATGGTTTAGTATGTCATTATTTTTTATCCTACTTGAAGTAATAACGTTTCTACGAAAAAACGTAGTTTTTTACGAAACTTTTTTTCTGGTAATGATTTTGATAAGAAGTTTACTTTACTCATATAAGTGATATACTGAAAACTACAAACACTAATATTAAAAAAATTAGCCATGTGTGTTTTTTCTTCATTACCTGTATATATAATATAATCGTTACGAATTTTTGTCATCGAACCCAATATAAACATACACATCCTTTCCTCTCATTCGGTGACTCACTTTCGATATGGATGCTTATATGAGTAGGCGTAAATAGTGCAGTAATGTACATATATAAGTAGTAAATTGTGACAGGCAGAACATGATAATTCTTCAATTAAAATTGATCGATATGGAAATGTCAGCAAAGAAAGAAACAAAACTAAAATATAGGTTGCAGCATTTTGGATCGAAAAAAGTTTGCTAAGGTAGCCTCATTGGAACTAAAATATGGAACTTACAGATGTTCTTTAGCCTCATTAAACCGACACAAAATAAGTGAAGTGAAAAATTTTTCATAGATTATAATTCTGTTTGAAGGTAATCGATCAGCAAAGTAAAGATTTGTCTTATTGATTTCTACAATTCAAGCAGAAATCTTTCTTATTATAAGTTCCCTATTTTTTGTTTATACCATCGCTACTTGTTCGTTATTTTTCATTTTTGTTTTTCTTCATTTAACATTGTTATCATTATGAACATTGAATTGAATGGAAAATAAGGTTGTTGTAAACATTCATTATATCTACAGTAGCAGGTCTTAACACTCTATTATATATCTTGATTGACTCATATCAAACTGAAAATGTTATAATTTGATCAATTCCAGCTTTTTCTGTTGATCAAATGACACCTGTGGCAATGGAGGAGACAAGGATAGCACACGATGAACAACCAGGCAAGAACCTGTTTTTGCTTGAAATATGATTTTCTCAGTCGTATGACGTGCAAAAAAGTTGAATAGTATTTTATATGGAAGAGTACTAAACGCACTACAAAATGCGTATTTATTTGTTATTAAAAAATGTTAGCTCCAAAAATTTTTATCAAAAATACTCAAAAAAATTTTGCCTCAGACGTTTGCTTACTGTTCACTGCAGTGAAGGAGATTTCATAAGGTCTATAATAGAGAGTCCGTTGCTAAGTATCTGTCATAGAAAGAGAGGAAGCCGCGAAACTTCGACTTCAAATTTATACTCACTATTTCCTTCGAAAATAAATATGAGTTTTGCAATGATCTTTGAAAATGATATCGATAGCTAGTAAGTGGCTTAGCTTAAAAAGATACTATTTTGACTGATTCATCAATCCTTATCAATTTCTGAATCACCGCTGAATATTATTGTAGTGATATTTTAGTTGCCAGAACTAAGCATTCATCCAATTAAACTAATGTTTAGAAACAGAGCTTATGGTCATCAGTAAATATACTATTGTGAAACATGATTGTTAGTGTTGAAGTATATAGCAAGAAAACTGAACTGTCTCTTTAACACGTTCCCTTCTTAATGACTGGCATGTCAACTTCCTTTTTCATTGAATGAAGATAGACTGAGATAAGGATGTGGGTGTGTGGTTATGAATGAAGAGAAGCCTCACATCCATACTTTCGAGGGTGGATGTTAGTGTGAATAAGGATGAAATGAAGATCCACACTCACACTCTGCCAACACTCACACACCAGACTCACATCCTCTTTTGTATAAAAATACATCACACTTGTCTCAATTAGGCTTCTTTAAAATAAACGCTGAAGAAAACAAGTAATCGAATAAACTATCTCAACTGAAATTTATTTTTTTAATCAAACAAATTCATTTTAATAGTTATTTATTTTTAGCTATTAAATCTTTCTTCTAGAGTCAATATTTGAAAGAGAATATAAAAAAAACATCCGAATAATAAAGCTTCTTTAAAGAATACGCGATTTTCACTCAAATATTAAGTTAATGATTCATTTAATTTTTCTTCTTCACTTTCCAACATAAATAACACGTGACAAAAAGAAGAAGCACAATAGTTTCTTTCGTTCTGTTTTTATTTTATCACAGGTAAAAAGAAATTATTTTGAAAGTAACACTCAAAATTACTCACATCAGTAAGAAGTAAACTTGGCAACTATCAATAAAGAATATTTCTATCTATAATGCCAAATAATACGAATTCATCAATTCAAACATTACCAGTAGAAATATTACATCGTATTTTTGATAGTCTTGATGCTCAAACTATTTTATTTTCGATTCGACCAGTATGTCGATTATTTCGAGCAATGGTCAATACTTATGATCGATATTTTCTGGACTTTAAATCAATATCAAAGTCAAATTTTCATTTATTGTGTCATTTAATTAATCCCCAAAATGTTATATCATTAAGACTTTGTAATGATGACCATACTCCAAATCAAATTGGTTTATTTATTTCATTGATTCGACTTCGACAATTTTCTCGACTTCATTCAATAATTTTTCTTGGTATTGAAGAATTTCAATTGAATATGATTTTAAAACGTATCAATTTAAAGTGTTTGACTTCACTTTCATTACATATTCAAGAATATGATAATCGACGAAAAAAAACAACATTAAATTTTCTTACGTCAATTTTAGCACAGTCTAATCTTCGAAAAGTCGAACTAAATATAAAAAATGATCGAATATCTAATATATCCTGGCCTGTCAATTCTAGAATCGATTATTTTATTATACATTCAGATGTTAGTTTCCACAATATATTAACTATTTTTTCATGTTCTCCTCAACTTCATACACTCGTTCTAAAACAAAATTTACCAACATTAATGGGGAATATGAAGCAGACATGTTCTTTTTCACAATTAACTTCATTGACTATAGAAAACCTACATGTTACTATGGATCAACTTGAATCATTTCTTTTGTTAATGCCATCACTTATTGATCTAAAATTAATTGGTAAAGAATGTGTATTTGATGGTAAACGATGGGAACAATTTATTCACATAAATCTTCCTAATTTGAATAATTTCGAATTTTTCATTGATATTTCAAAATCAATTAATCAAACTCAAGAAGATCTTCAATTAATAATTGAATCATTTCGAAGTCCATTTTGGATTGAATATAAAAAATGGTATGTAGCCTGTCAATTTAATTCTACTAATCAATATAAAATTCAAATTTATTCATTACCAATTTGTAAATCTGTTCTTCAATATGAATTAAATTCAAAATATTTTTGTCTGTCTAATTCGACAACGCTCTTGAACAATAAACTATTAACAACGAAAAATATTAATGAATTGTTTTTATTGAAACTATCAACATATGGAAATATGAAAGAAGAAGTTTGTCATGAGATAAATTCTACTGAAATATATTTATTTATTTATTTATAGGAATTAACAAGAATGAATGATATATTTCCTAATGTAACTAAACTTAATGTAGATATTTGTAGACGATCTACAGTGACTTCATTAGAATTTCTTACTACCATGATCGATATTTCAAAATTGGTTGAAGTCAAATTAGAAAGTTTTTATTTCAATAAATTTAATCAAAATCTTTTGTTTGACATTATCACTATTCTTGAACAAGCGTATTCTCTTTCATCTTTGATAATACATAGTCGCTATAGTAAATATGAATTTTTTCCATTTCTTAACCGTATATGTTCAATAATACCACGCCAAATCAAACATTTACAAATACCGATTAATCAATTAGATCTAATCGAAGTTATTTTAGAACGATGTCAAAATCTTTCAGTTATACAGTTCGAAATATCACGTTTGAAATTTTCTCAAGAAGTCATCGATTGGTTTAATCAAAATACTGTTGATTCAACGATTCGAAGACGTGCCGGATGTGATCTTATATGGATTGGAAACAAAATAAATCACATCGAAAATAATCATAAACGAATTAAATTGAATGAAAATCAATTCAACTCTTAATATACTTTATTTCATGATATTCAAATAAATAAGCAAAAATAATTTTCGAATTTATTAAAACCACAATTGCTAGTTTTCTAATCGAAGCTTGTTCCATTTTATTATCCTTGCATATAAAAGGAAATATTTCATTTATTTCTGCTGCCAGGAAGACTACGAGAAATACTTTCTTAAGTCATGTTGAACTCGTAGATTTTCCTAGCGTTTCGTATATATATAACTAAAATACAGAATTAAATTCGTTAACGTGTTCTGTTTATTTTATTATAATGAAAACTTCGGGTGTGGATATGGGTCTAGGTGAAAAAAAGTGCCTCATGTATATCCACACTCCCTCCTCAACACCGGTCCAATCTCAAAGAATATGCACTCTATTTCTATATATTTTTCATATTAAAATGAATTTGCTGAGTAAAGTCAGCATCATCTAAGAAGTTGTATTTCTTCAATTGAGTGTGTAAAAATGATTTTTAGCTATACGTCATAGACATTTAATGTTGAGGTTTGCGACATTGATCTTTTGCTTGTATCATTCATTGCATAATGATTTTCAGAAGTGCTGTTAGTTATGGTCTGTGTTTGGGGGTACGGATGTGTGAATACTGACACCCCACACCAGAAGTGGGCATAATTTGGGTTTTTCAAAATTCAAATCGAACTGAACACAAAAAAGAAATCATTTCAAATTCCATTAGTAATAACAAAAACAATGTAATTTTTATTTTAATTCGTTCATTTTATTTCAAACAATTGTTATCTCAACTCTTATCGCAATGATAGAAGACTTCATGTCACAAAATTTCTCTGTATTCAACGGCTCTGAAAGACCAATGTGCTGGATATAATTGCAGATTTTTTCTTAGTTATTTAATTCGTTAAAAAGTATATCTTCAATGGAGATAGATAGTCAGAAATACGCCTAGTTCATTACATTATGAGCTGAAAAACCTCTTTCTAATTCTAGAAAGTGTCACGAGTTTTTTTTGAAAAACATTTTGATCATTAGTAATTATATAAGAGAAATCTAATACAAGAGACCTTGGAAAATTTATTTGTCCGAAAATAATAGAACATCTGGTAGTCTTCTATTGAAAAGAAAGATAGAATTAGTTAATATATTTATATATGTAAATTCATGCTTTTTTTTTTGTTGTTGTTATTTATTTTAATTTTATGCCTATTAACAGGAGAGAAATATTATTACATACTGCATTGAACTTAATTTAATTGATCATCATGTATATGCTTTTTCTATACTAAACAATATACTTTGTTTTTCTTTATTCATTTTCCTTTCTTTACATGTCTAGATACTGAATAAACATCGAATTTCAAGTTGAAAATAGTGTCATCAAAGAGCACACATTCAATTAAGTATTCAATAAAAAATATATCGTTAATGAATCCGCATAATGATCAGTTCTTACGAGAAAAAAATTGCTTGTTTGCAGTAATATCTACTATAATACAATGTGGGTGTAAGAATCTTCTCTTTTCCCTCCCAAATACACACAAGCATAGCCACCTACAACCTCAATGATGCTCTAATCAGAGCTCTCTATTTCTTTTCTTTTTCTCCAATGATAGATCAAATAAAGTCGTGTTATAGCAGTGAATGAATAATTTTGACGTCCACCTTATACGTGTTAAACGTTATCGTTGTTCAATTGAAATAAAGCAACAATAGGAAAATGATCAGAAGAATAATTTCTAGATCGAATATCTACAACAGCTATGAATCGAGGTTGTAAACGTTCACTTCCATCAATCGAATTTCTATATAAAATCCAATCGACATGAAATCGATGTAGAGACCATAATGAAATCATTTCTGATAAATTTAGCATCTGACGAGATTTCCACAATTCTTTTAAAACATCGATATAAGATGAAAGGCGTTTGGATATTTCATATGGTAACCTAATACCTGAACCATGAAAGGTAAATATTATTGTTTGCAGAAGTTGAAATCCATATGTGTTAATTATTGATCCTAACCAACCATGAAATGTAGACGAAAATGAATTTGATATACACATTGATTGTTGAGATTTGCAAACTACCCAAGTATCATGTAGAAATTCCGAAGATGTCAATATATTATATGCAGCTTGTTTTGGAGCACAATTAAAATCTCCAAATAAAAGAACTACAGCTGTTGGATAATTCTTTTGCCATTTTTCTATTGTTGATCGAATAATTTTCGCCTGTTCTCGACGTGCTTCTTCACTTCTGACATCTAAATGAGTGTTAAAAACAAGAATATCTATCGACTTATTATCATTTTTTAATTGAAATCGTGCAATATTCAATGTTCGTGCTCCAGCACTATTCCAATCTTTGCTTCCAACAACTCGTGGTGATTTTGATAGCCATATATAGTCTTGTTCTACTAATTTTAATATTTGATTATTATATAAAATAGCAACTTGAAAATCTCTATGAGATGATGGATCTTCAAGATTTCTATCGACACCACCAGGTTGATAGCCAATATATTGATAATATTTTGGTAACTGAGACCGCCAATGCATCAGCTGACCAGCAAATGGTTCTTGTACACATAGAATAGATGGTTGCCATTTTTTAACAGTTTCTGTTAAACGATAGACTCTCTTCGTAAAATGATTATTTTGATCACGTTCTACTCCATCGAAACGAATATTAAACGTCATAACAGATAATAAATTCTGTTTGATAGCTAAATATTTCTGCAGTATAGTGGAATCATTTTGTTCGGTGTAACGTGGAAAAGTAAATAGAAAAACAATAAACAGAGGAATTAATATTGAAAATAAAATAAACCACATTTGTCGCATAATAATAAAAGATAATAATTTTCAGACACTTTAATTTACTATTAATATTGCAAAATATTTAATTGAATAAAATAATACATTTAGCTAATCGAATTATCTTCAAGTTAGATTTGTTTAAACATCAAGAAAGAAGAATACTGCTAATATTGAATTTTGAAAGAGCTAAGTTTAGTTATTTGTGTAGAGGTCTTCTCTTATTGGTTTCACTGAGTCATAAGAGCATACTATGTGCCTCTAACATATAATCTGACTAAATCAAGTGGAATGTATCGACTCTGATCAATAAGATAATAAGTTGAAATATGATCAAAAAGTACAAGAAAATTTAATTTCAGTAGTAAGATATGTTGGGCAAACATGAGAAAACAATGATGTCGCTATCAAACACATCGAGATAGTAACATACAGTAAAAGATAATTGTTCGATAAATTCCTTCTTTTGTAATCTGTCAAGATTCCCTAGTTATTACGATTGATTTTATTTTCTCTAGGTAAGAAAATACAGATTATTGACTATTTTATTAAAACATTTTGAAAGTATTCAGCAATACAAAAATAAACCACAATAGTAATAGAATTCCACATGTACTTGAGACAGGCTTTGTCTGCAACTGTTCCAGTTGATTGATTACATTGACTAAACGAACAAATTCATTGCGATATAATACTGTACTGTATTGTTTTAAGAACTGTTCTCGTACATCAAAGTACTCAGATTGCCATTCTGGTCGAAGACACTGTCCATAGAGAAGTAATTCAGTGCCACATTGAAAATCATACATTTCTTTTAGTTCACAACGAACTTTATTAGCATCAAACCAATCGGCGATATCTTTCGAGTTCCATTTTTCAATTGGTTTAGGATTAGGTACAAGTAGTGGCAGTATCTCATGACTAGATTGATTAGAATCATCGTAATTATCTTTTGGCGATTCTTCATTCGGCTTGTCATTCTCATCAGGTTTGATTTCAACAAGAGGGACAGTAACAGGCACTTTAGCAACCTTGTGTTTTGAGCTTTTCTCACTCTTGTCGTCGAAAATAAGTTTCACGAGATCTTTGACCGTTTCTTCAAAAGGTTTTTTGCCGAAACGAAGGTATTGTGGACCGACAATGCGTACACCCAACCAACCACTAGCCACGAAATCTCGTTTTACGTAGATGGGAATAAACCGTTTCTTCAATGAATCTTTTGTATACATCACTTCTTGACGACACGATTTGCTGTCTTGATAATCTTTTGTCATGAGGAAAAGTATTACATCAGACTTTTCGATTGCTTGACCGATTTCTCCCCATAGATCTTCCGTGTGACAATAATCGAAGTCAACCCAAACATCGAAAAGATTCTCTAAAATAGACACAAAAATCTTTTACTTGAAGAATCTAACATTGAATCAACATTTGATTTCTCTCATAGACAGTCAACAAATGACTGATGTGTATTCTCCGCGACAAAAAAAAAATCGTTGTGATCAGTAATTTCTTCTTACATGCTCAAACATTTTTACCTTACATGGAACAAGAGGGTGTGGGTGTAGGTCTTCTCTTTACCCACACTCATACCGACGATCAATCTGTAAGATGATAATATGATAGTACTAATGATATTTTGCAGACTGAAAAAAAATTGATTTCGAAGATATTGACGAATTCGAAACCATTTTTTATGCTTCATAACGTGCTCTGCATCGGGCTTCGTACTAATATACAGTCTATTGTATTTGATGTATAGAAAAATATCGTCGAATGGGGTCCATATAGCAACCCTGAGACATACCTTTTTCAAGTGCATCTACCAGTTGATGACAAAAGTCAGAATCAAGATGCGAATAGCTGACCATAACGCGCATTCGTTTATTTTCCGATGTGGTCACCGGAGAACAATTTGTTTGATCGACCACATTTAGCGTCGGCTCCACTACATGAACAGTTCGTGCTGAACTCAAAATAAAATAGATCAAGATGAGGTCAATGTCAATTGATGCATCAGTTTTCTAACCTGTACTATTTTCATCAAGATTCCATAGAATGCGGCCGGCTGCTTTTTTCACCGATGACATGTGTTTTGGTACATATTTTTCAATCCAAGCTTCTCCATCGTCGTTGGCAAGACTTTTGACAGTGATGAGAAATTTTGCATTTGATTTGAGCTCGTCGACATAATCATGATGAAACGAAATACTCCAAATGATGTTCATTAATGCGGTGAGAGTTAGTTGATCGAGCTCGTCATCATTGACTAGGGCACTTCGAAATTGCATCATTAGATCACAAAAGAAGGCGATTTTCGAAGATACTTTCATATCTTTGACTTGACATTCCTTAATGCAATAATGCACAATGTCGTCATGGACGAAGAGTTTTGTGAAAACCACCAAAGGTTCACTGATATCAAAGTCACCATATTTGTGATTTTTTTTTCGTGAAGTATTCACAGTTAATTGCATCAGTTGATCGAGTACTTTTCTAAGTGATTTAGCATCGCTTTCGTTTTCCTTCGGTTCCATCAACAATGCTAGTGTCATAGAAAATAGTAAACGCATATCTTCGTAGGCTGCGTCATCAACAGTTGGATCTAAAGTTCGATGTTTGAATTCTTTCAGTAGACGAATGGCATTGGCTTCATTCAATGCGTCGCATCCTTTTTCATGCCGTGCAATATTGTATAAGAGCCGAATACTAGCCCTTTGAATAACGAGTGACAATTCATTCGTGTTAATCCACTTAAGCGTAAACGAAACGCAATTTGCATTGAGTAATTGTGGTACCAGAATAGTGTTATCGACTAATATCCAAACGAATTCCAATATTCCAATGATCGTCAGTTGAATATCGTTGTCAGTCTCAAATAAATTCGTATCTACATATTCTAATAGAAGCTGAATTGTCGATGCTTGATTGAGTAAATCATCTTTTTTGAACACGATTTCTTCTGTAATGTTTTCCATTTGTAGCAACAATATACGCAAGATGTTTGTTACATGTGGCATAATTTGATTGTTGGATTGATTTTTGAGAAGGACCGTAATAGTCGGAAGTGACATTAGTTCGAAGATACGATAGAACATATCATGAGCATAGAATGCGTCATCTCTAAAGACGGATTGAAAGTTGATAGATGTGTACACTTTAATAACGGAGTTAAATATTTGTTGAAATTGATCACTGGCAAGAATATTGACAAATTCAGTTAATGAAAGAAAATCAGCGATATACGTTTGCCATATAGTATGAATTATGTCGGAAAGTGCTTTTGGACTCTCAACGTAACGAAGAGATTTTATCGAAGTCAAAACTGATTCAATACAGGATAGAACTTTTGAATCAATATGATTAATATCCGTGTTTGATTCATGTTGCAAGATCTCTTGACGAAGATTGGCCAACGATGCGAATAGATTGCATGAGATTAGGTTTGGATCAGTTATTTTGGATGACTTTTGCATCGAAATTACACGATTGTGTTTAAATGAAATTAAATATGCACAGATGTCTTGTGAGCGAATACTCGCTGTTCGATGAACAAACTAAAATTAATGAATAAATTCATAGCATCAAAATTCTGCTCTGCATAGCACTCTATCAGTTGTCAATACTATTATGAATCATCAGAAACCTATAGACCAGTAAGCGATGAGGTGAAACTAAGAAATAGGCAAGACACGATACGGAACACAACTGATCTTGTGTCCCGCATAGTTCGAGCAATTCAAAATAGAGTAAAATAATATCGCTTTACATTTTGTCGGTGCATGAGAAGGTAATCTTTTTTTTATTATTATGGTCGATGTAGTAGTAGTTACGATTTCAATCAGTAAAAGTGGAGAAAAATGTTCCTTAATGGATAGTTGCATACGACTGATTATCTGAAGAGTTGAAAACAAATATATCTGTAGTTCCCTACACTACGGCGAACCGTTGAAGAAAAGATCGACAACAATAATCTCAATCTATCTATATAAAAAGAAAGACAAGTTAAGAGTCTAACTTTGTCTTTTAAGTTGATTAAATAAAGTGGTGTCTGTAGGAATAGCATTTAAACACGCATATATTCGCTCGCACATTTCACTTTGATAGAAAAGCTTGATTTTTTTTACAGAGAACACACGATGCAAGGAATTCTTCTGCTTCTACACTCGTTTCATCGAGTATTTTTCCTCACTTAATCATTCATCCCTATAAAATTAGTTCTCTCCCTCGTTTTCGTTTGTTTTTCGCTCAATTCAATGAAAGATAGTGCTTATTCACACTACATGATAAATTTCTACTTCGATAACTTACCTAAATTTGGATGAATCGACGATTAAAGGATTAATACCACAGATGGTGTGCAAAACAAATTCTGAAAATAGTCGTTCAATACCTATCGACTATTAAACTAATATTGACAGTAACACATGTTTCGATCGCTTACCTACTTTATATATGCTTATCGACCACGAAAAGCTGAATCATTCATGTATAGAAGAGTAATAGATTTTATTTTTTTTTCCTAGTCATCATTGAAGACAGAACGAAAATATGAGAAAATAAAAATAAAAATGTGCAGGCAGTCTAACAAATTTTGTGTTCTATAGTCATTTTTTACCTGTTCTGTGAGTACCTGTACACTATGCAGACATGGGTGTGGGTGTAAATATATGATTCCTCATCACCTACGCCATATTTATGTGTTGACATTTATTCACCTTTGCTTTAATTAATAATAAAGATATATAAATTCATTTTAATTTTGTACCATTCACCCCAAATTATTCTGTATGTGTAGCTCTATTTAGAGAAGAGTACTTCTCTTTTCAAACAAAATCAATTTTCGTCAGAATTATTAAAATTGAGATAAGTGACTATGAACATAGTATGATGTCTGCTCTTTCATAGACGATATCATATTTTATTTGGCACTTCCTTTTCGTCAAACTTTTCTATGATTGTCGTAAGCCTCTGCTTGAAAACTATGCTTTCTTGATCATGTAATCCAGAACTCTTCTTAGGTCTTCATTCTATATATTTAATTTTCTTTTTACTTGAAAGAGCATGCCAAGATGCATAACATGACAGAGTTATTTTTTTTTTTTGGATTGAACTTTTCATCCGTTTTCTCCGTTTAAAAGACTAAGAATTCAAGAAGAAAGCATCTACCATGTTCTGCATCCTGATACATTCTTGTTTATTGAACATCTCTTGAAAGCATCATATTATATGAATAAATTAGTTCTAGCAAAAAATATAACATAAGTCAATCATCAAATTTTGCATTTAATAGATGATACAAATCGAAAAAAGATAGACTATATTTTCTTACAGATTATTCAATTCAGTTAAATTATACATTATATCAAATATCATAGAATTAATGTTTTCGAAATAGATTTTCAAAGTAACAAAATAATATTTATCAAGTTTATTTTATTCTATTTAGAAGATAAACTTTTATAAATATATTCATTCCATTTTAGGGTACCAACTTTACATTCATCTATCGAATGATAAGCTTTAAGAGTCAGAGCATACTTCTAACAAGTAAATATTACACTATTAAAGTATTTTAATATTCTTGCCAAATTTAATCAAATGCTCATTTATAAATACCACCATTTTCATATTCATATTTTACACACTAAGTTAATGATCGACTATACAAAATAAAATAACGAATTTTTTCAAATATGCTACATTCTAATTTTTGTTCAAATTAATCAATGCACGCAATAAATTGTTTCTTCGATCGGATTTCAGAAATATTTTTGATAAAATACTGTTCGATAGCTAGTTAAGCTCTTATCTACAATGAATGACCAATTCAAAGATCGAACACAAATTGTGTTAAAGATTCCTACAAGAATTATAAATGCTTTTCAATTTATAAAGAAAACTATTTTGTTATACTATTTTTTATTTCTAGAAAATAATATATTGATGATAAACTTTTCTTGGCATATAATAAAATTTACATATTATAATTCAATATGTTGATGATAATTACTATTTGATGTTATGTACGAAGTTCAGTTTGATTGAGAGTATCAATACTTTAGCTACACATAATAATGAAGTGAAAATAGTTAATTATTTCTATAATTTTAACAAACTTTCTTTTTTATCATGTAGAATACCATAATAATATATAAATATTGTATTTAAAAGGATGATAATGATTATATACATTCTAAAGATAATACTTTTATTCTTAACAGATGATGAAAGATATGCATTTTGTAAAACATTAGAAATTCAATTAGATAGTTCTGGTCTAAATTGTAGAATCACCATTGCTATTTTGTTATTAATGAACTAGAGAAACGTTAGTTTTGCTTAAAAGTTACATAGACAAATAGAGAATTTTTTTTTGAATATTTTCATAGAAAATAATTTGTAAAATAATCAATATTTGGAGTTAAAATAGCTTGAAAAACATTGTTTGAACTAAATATTATGAATAAGAAATTTGAAATAAAAATAAGATTGAGTTTTTTTGGGCAACAAATTCTTTTTTTTGCTTCAAAATGAGATGATAACCAGTTCTTTGTTAGCATCATAGATATAGTTTCATAAAAGTAATAGCGGTTTTGATCAAGATTTTCAAATCATTCCTATACTTTTTTTTTTTTTATAAGCCTGATTTCCGTTGAAATATTTTACATTCTATGANTATGTAGTATCCTAAAAAAATCAATTAGCATCTCAGCACTTCAGCACCCGCCCAGTACCTACTCAGCACCTGAGCACCTACTCAGCACCTACTCAACACCTGAGCACCTACTCAGCACTTTTCCAGCACCTGAGCACCTACTCAGTACCTCAGCACCTGCTCAGCACCTCAGCACCTGTCCAGCACTTTTCGGTGCTGGGTGCCAGCACTTACCCCCTTGTGTGGGTGTGGGTTTTGGTGTGTGGGTCTGGGTCTGGGTGTGGGGTGGATGTGCGTTTTGTCTATCCACAGGCACACCTACACCCATATCCACCCCAACCCTCACACCCACACCCGCACCCGCACCACACCGGACATTGGACCAGTACCAGTACAGTAAGTACCAGTACAAATACTTTTTACTTAAAAATTGTACTTTGTACTTGTACTTAAGTGCATTGTACTAAGTCCAACTGTACTTAGTACCGGTACTACAGTACATTTGTACTAGTCCAAATGTACTTAAGTACAACGTACTTAAGTACAATATACTTAAGTAAAGTACATATTTTGCTTTGATTCATATTTTTTTATCAACATCAGTCATTTTCGTAGTCCAACGACATCTGTAGTAACAAAAAAGATGATAGTTTACATCCGCATTACTATATTTTTCTGTGTATCGATATTAAAATTGGTATAATTTGTGGCTTTGTAACTAAAAATTAATAATGGTAAATTGGTGCGGTAGATATCAGAAACTCCAGTAAATAAAAATGTGATTGGCCACACTAAGCAACAAAAGCTTTGGTTCTTTGATCTAAGTCACAACACTAGCTTTTTATTTGTAGGGGACCTACAACATTTTTAAATACTTTTTTCATAATCTTCATCAGTAACCAATGGCCAGTGAACGATTGAAAAAATATTTCGACTTTTCTTCAATTGAAAAGAACCGAATTAGTGATCATTGTAAATTATGTGATCAACATTACAAAGATAAAAATGGAATTTTCAGTAATTTCTTAAAACATTTGAAACGAAAACATTTGTCGGAATATAAATTAATATTTGTCAAACAAGATGAAGGTTTTTCAGAAGAAGGAATTATTGAAGGTGACGGTCAAGCAACAACAGAACCATCAACAAACAAACAAAAACAAAATCGAATTAATACAGCTATTGGTAAATATCTGATTATAAAATGCAATTTACCGTTAAATTTAGTGGAAAATAATTCGTTTCGTGATTTTATAAAAGAATGTAACATAAAATGGAATCCAGTATCGACTAAACATTTAAAACACGATACAATTGCTCGATTTACAGAAAAAGTAAACAAAACCATTCATGAAACATTAGATGCTACTGATTACTTAACATTGACTGTTGATGGATGGTCGGATAGGAGATGCAGATCGTTTTTGGGTATAACATGTCATTTCATTAATTTCAAAATGCAACCAGAATCATATTTAATTGATTTTGTTCGTTTAAAATCTCCTCATACCGGCGAAAATATTCATCAAACAACTGAAGGTATTCTTGATCGTTTTAACATTAAAGAAAAGGTTTACAAAATAGTCACTGATAATGCTTCATCGATGATAAAGGCTTACAAATTTGGTTTAACTGCTGATGACGAAATTAATGATAATGATCGTGGAATGAATTTAATGTCAAACGCAAACACTATGTTGAACGAATATGATGGTAAGTACTTTATGGTTATCTAAATAAATATGAATTCAGAACAGCATATATCTATAGTTATACCATTAAAACGTGATTTATAATAATAGATAATTTATCAACATCTCGAAAAATGCAATTTAGGTCGTGAACAAAATAGACATTAAAAGTTTGCCAAAGAATTTCATTTCAGAGTACTTGATTCAATTTACTGAAAAAATAATTCGTAGTTTACTTAAAACAGGTATCAAAACTAACTTGAAGAAAAGATTGAAGAAAACGCCTATTACTTTAGAGCTTTTCTTAATACGCTGAAATATACTTTTTTTCTAAGGGCTTCCAACTTTCACATTTATACTTTTGTTTATATTTTTCATGCATAAATTATTTACTTAAAGTTTACTTTTATCTTTTAGAGGATATCGACATTAATAGTCTTCAGTTTATAGATATTCAACATAATGAGGATGATGTTATTGGTTATGACGATTGCCCTGATGTACGTCTATCGTGCTTCGCACACACTTTACAATTAAGTATTCGTGATGGATTAAAAAATGCTCCCTATGTACCTAAATTACTTGGAAAATGTCAAGCATTAGCTAAATTTTCACATAAATCGTCCAAAATGGCCGACCTGCTCGACCAATTGAATAAAAACATTAACAAAATGAACTTAACTAGGTGGAACAGTGAATATTTCTTAATAAAATCCATCTATTCCATCAGCAAAAATGAACTTGAATTACTTACATCGATAATGGATAATCCGGTTAAATTTTCTAATAATGATTTAATTATTTTAGAAGAAATAATTAATATTCTCGAACCATTTTATGAGATTTCAATCAAATGTCAAGCAGAAATAGCTGTTACAGTTAGTTTAGTTGTTCCATCAATTGTACATTTAACAAGTCATCTTCATGATATTAAAGAAGATATTTCGTTCTGTTCAAAACTCATCGGACAACTTCAAGAATCACTTTTTTTGCAGTCAAAGCCTTTTTATTAAGATGTTACGAAGAAAAAAACAAAAATATAATACAGAAGGCTGGAGAGGAACGGCGAGACGCTTGACGAATGTCTTATGTCTCGTGAAAAGAGGTGAAAAGTTGGAAGTTGTAATAATGGTATGTATGTTGCAAAGTTAAAGTCGACGAATCCGATATAACAATTGTTGCATGTATTCGGGCGACTCAACAATGGTCGATAATATCGATGCTATATATAATATGTAACATGGGTAGGTGATTTGTTTTTAAAGTTTGTTGAATATGTCTTGTAAGTTGTTTTGTAATAGGACGTCTTTGTTGGATGTTGCTGTTTGGATATAACGTTGGAGTAATGTAACAGCATATTCTTTAATTTTGGGTATGTTGGTAGTACGATGTATGTAATCCACTGATGTGTATATTGGTAATCCTAAAGCAGCACGTATAGCTTTGTTTTGCATAATTTGTAGTCTTTCCCATATTTTGTCGTTGGCTGTAAGCAGTATTGGATAACCATAGATGATAATCGATCTTGCTATTGATTTGAAGATGTTTAACATGATTTTATCATTTGGTTCATAAGCTGCTCTATTTAAAAAACGAAGCAGACTGATACGACCAGCAATCTTCGATTCGATGTGATGTAGATGACTTCTCCAATTCAACGTTTTATCGATGATAACACCTAAATATCTTGTTGAATTGGATGTTTTAACGATTGTATCATCTATTTTGACTGATATTGGATTCTTAAACTTTCTCCGTGGATGTATAGTAAAATGAACGAGTTCAGTTTTACTGGGTTGTAGTTTAAGTTTCCATGAGTTGCACCAGCTTTGGAATGCATCTATGGACTGTTGTAGCCTAAAACTAAGGCTTGTTGTTGTGTTTGATGATGTCCATAGAGCAGTGTCATCGGCAAATAGACCATGTTCTGTATGTTCTGGTATTCCATTCATCGAATCAGCCGTGTATATAATGTAAAGTAATGGTGATAACGGAGACCCTTGTGGAGTACCGCTGTTGAGGTTAAATGATCTTGATAGGATGTTTTCAATTTCAATTGCCGCAGTTCTATTCTGTAGAAAAGAGATGAGGTAATTGGTTAAGTATTGTGGTAGACGTAGTTCATTTAAT